AACGTTCCAAATTTCAACGCTCTACCATAAATGGTATTGAAAATATTTAGAAAAATGTGTTAAAATTTCTGAACTTTGATGGCCCATATCTTAGCCATTTGAAGACTTTTATAATAATTTTTTTTCACGAATCGTCATCATTTTTGCTCTACTATATGAGGTTAATTTTATGCCCCGAGTCACCGGAACACCCTGTATAGTCCTATGGGTTCTGTCTGTTTTGCCTTTGTTCAGGAGTAACATAGTAACATATATAAATTTCCATTGTTAAAGGAGGCAAGAGCAGACTCATGCAAGTGTGATAAAATACCATGTGAGGCAAACTGGAAAGAACTTTGAATGTCGTAAAATGGTTTCGACAAAAATACTATCCAGGAGTAATCACTGCCATTAGAAAGTGACCAGAGAAGCCCAAGAAATTTATGAGCTGAACCGAATCTGAAAGATCTGCACATAATATCGTCTTTAAGAATACAATTGTGTTCAATTGTATTCAATTTGATATCGAACGTTCTTAATTCCACCATTTAATTTACCCTGGACTTTTTTTCATCCTCTTAAGTAGCACAAACACCTACACCAACAAAACATTTTTTTCCATAATCCATTATAAACCACTTTTCGTATACATATTTAGTTATACATCAACAAAAACCTCTTATATTTTTAATGATATATTTATTTATTTTTATTATCTTCCGTGATACGTAGACAATAGTAAAGTGGTCTGGATTCTCCGCATTCTAGAACCGGAAATAACGAGAACAGCTCGGGAAACGACACGAGTTCATGTACGGAAGCTTTTGGTAATGGGGATGTAAATTTGTACCAGAAATCGTGTGGGATGAATTTCATCGCACGAGTTTGACAAATACGTTGAAATTGAATAGTATTCAAGAAAATTATGTTCCGTTCTTTACGTAAAATCCCCACAATAGGAGATAATCCCATTATACCAGCGCCAATTAATCCTATACTTTTGTTAACGCTTCCTCGGGAAAATTAAATTCCTCTCACAATCCAATCTCTAATAGGAAGTGAAGTGGAGGAAACGCATTCGTACATAACCGAATTTTCTTTTGCTTAGAAAATTTAACGTTTGTTTTAGGAAGATGTTATTTTAGTTCTATTGTAGAACAAAAAATTTTATACGTACCAATAAATCTGCAATGGCCAGATGCATCAGTGTAGTTGTAATTCTCGATGGAGATTGTCTTCGTCTTCTAACGATTAATACCAAGATGGTAATATTTCCGACGGCCGAGAAAACCATTAGGATGCTGTAGACTATAATCGACAGCACGTGACCATCGTTGAATTGCATATCGAGAGGTAATTCGTTGGTGTCATTGTTGGTATCTGACCAATAAAGAAGGTTTCGATGATCGGTGATCTTTTCATTCTCACCAACACGCATTTTTTTTGTAGATTTGTCTACAATATGAGTTTTGATTTTTCTTCTTTAACTATAAATTATGAAAATTCGCCACGTAATCATTTTTTCAATCCAACATCTCTGAAAAATAAAGATACAATTAATAAAATAACCAATTTTAAGTCAATAATTGAATTTGTTTCTTGTAAAAGGAAATTTTGGAAAATCGCTCTGCACTGGGAACAGTTCGTTTTATCCTAATTTATCTACATGCCAAGCTTTAAATTTCCATCAAAAATTTATACATACACTCGAACTCAAACAGAGTGTGTACCGGCTAAACATTTTATTTCCAGTTTTTATTATTAAATTATTTAAATGGGACATTTTACCAAAAAAATCGATTTATAACGTAAACTGATATTTCACTGTGGTTTGAATAAAATATTTGACCAGTGAATATAATCATTCATCCGGGTTATTTTAATTACATTCTTTAGTGAATTTCATTTAGATGCAATAAACAAAAATATATTTACATAGAAATCAGGGCGTACCTAACAATTAAAACTAGAACTAACACTATACCTAGAACTAGAATCATTTAGGTTTAGCAGCACGTCTTTAAAGACGGCTAAACCCGAATGATTCTAGTACTAGGTATAGTGTTAGTTCTAGTTTTACACTAGCACTGTTACTATGCAGCTAAACCCGAATGTTTCTAGTTAGCGTAGAGAGTAACAGTGCTAGTTTAAAACTAGAACTAACACTATACCTAGAACTAGAATCATTTGGGTTTAGCCGCACGTCTCTAAAGACGGCTAAACCCGAATGATTCTAGTTCTAGGTATAGTGTTAGTTCTAGTTTTAAACTAGCACTGTTACTATGTAGAACTAACACTACACGTAGAACTAGAATCATTTAGGTTTAGCCGCACGTCTCTAAAGACGGCAAAACCCGAATGATTCTAGTGCTAGGTATAGTGTTAGTTCTAGTTTTACACTAGCACTGTTACTATGCAGCTAATCCCGAATGTTTCTAGTTCTAGGTCTAGTATTAGTTCTAGTTTTACACTAGCACTGTTACTCTCTAGAACTAACACTATACCTAGAACTAGAATCATTTGGGTTTAGCCGCACGTCTAAGACGGCTAAACCCGAATGATTCTAGTTCTAGGTATAGTGTTAGTTCTAGTTTTAAACTAGCACTGTTACTATGTAGAACTAACACTACACCTAGAACTAGAATCATTCGGGTTTAGCCGTCTTTAGAGACGTGCGGCTAGGTATAATGTTAGTTCTAGTTTTACCCTAAATCTAGCGCTGAATAACAATTAAAACTAGAACTAACACTAGACCTAGAGCTAGAAAGTTTCGGGTTTAGCCGTGCTTCTCTTAAGACGAAAACTTAGAGTTATCATAAGGACGTCACATTTTCCAAGCAAAACTTTTTCTTTGCAAAACTACCCAATGCCTGTACTATTAAGCTTTGTTTAATTTTATGTGGGACAGTACAAGTGCATAGTTGTTTCGTAACTATGGTTACAGCATTCATTATTGCGAGTTATATGAAATTCCTGGTAGATGCTATCATGGAAAATGCAACAAAACGAGTTAGAACGAGATAGAAATGTTTGTTTGTGAATTTTCGATTGTAAAATCATAACAGCTGGAATATCACGTACTTTGTAAAGGGAATTCAAAAGATTATTATAACAAAGCATCTCTATGTTGTTTAAAGGTAATTTAATAATCGAATCTGTTTCAATTTGAATTTAGAAAATTTTGCAAAAAAATGTTTGTTGATACAATAGGAATCAATGTCCTAGTAGCCAATGAACCTATTACTAAACCAAGAGTTATTTTAAGGTTATTCTGGCCTTGTTGTTACAAAAAACTCTTTAAGCGATAATCATTGGTCACTCGTCGCTATACATAAACAAATCGCAAGTAAATATTTTGGTACCCACAAGTATACATCCTCCGCCTTAAAACACAACATTTTAAAGGAATAATTTACGATTATGTTCTTTCTCGTTATCTTTTTATTTTCTTTTTAATAATAAACCGAAACGATAAAATAAATTAATATTATAAAATCAACAGCGCGTGCGATTTTAACGATCTCCAGCGTAGGAAATGGTTTTTAATTCGCACTCGACCTACTAAGTACTGTGAGGGCAACTTATTAAATACGTATTAAACTGTCAAGTTGACCGACCTCTTTAGCAAAGAGGGGCGACGAGCGACCCACTCTTTAAAAGGAACCGGGTTTTCAGATTTTCAGCCGTAAGGCATAAAGAACTTTCTTTGTACGTTCTGACTAGAAATAGCACAACTTTGCAATCCAGAAATTATTAAATTCCGCTAAACTGAAATGGTTCGTGCCATTATGAAATTTTCCTTCGTCCCAATAAACTTCATTCCAAACGGGTCGTATGATCTTTAACAAAAGTTAACTACTAACGTGTATATTTTCACTTTTAAATTATTAAATCTACACTTGAGGTTCCCGTAAATGTGTCGGCCCCCCAACAGTCTGGAAGATAGAAATTGCAACAGGATTCTAGAGATTGAGAAGCAACTGGAGAGGTGGCAAGAATATATGGCCGAATTGTATCACATTGAAAGAAAACCGTTGCAAATATCGGGTGTTAAAAGTGGTCCTTTAATGAGACACGAAGAAGTCAAGTTCATTATTTCAAAACAGTACGGCGACAGGATTAGATACGCAGAAACACTAAAAATACTGGGTGAAGATAGCATCAAAACGGAAAATCTACAAAAAGGCTCTATAGCAAAGTCCAAGATACTCAATTTAGATTCAGGAATGAATTTGGGAACTCTCGAAGCGCTGTTCTACACATAGGTATTAGTACAAAGATGTCGCAATTAACTTTGAGAAAGCTTGCGATAAAGTTTAACATAATAAGATATTACAAAAGCTGCAACAAACAGCGATTGTACAGGGTGGTTCAAATTCGATGTCCGAATAGGCTAACTCGGAAACTATAAGAGTTAGACAAAAAGTAGCTTACATGTCATGATCTCGTTTTTCGAGAAACTGCTAATGCCGAAAACCTCATAGCGCTATCGTCTTTTGTTTTTCCCCTAGAGGCCAAAATTGGAAATATCGTAAAACCAGCAAGTGCAATTATCTTCGTTATTATTATAGGTGGAGTATTATAACTAAGACATTATATGGACACTTTTTTATAGAGAATTGGATGACGTAGTCAAAAAAATTTTTTCGGTTTTAGATTTTGAGATATTATCACAATTTTCGTTTTTTTAAATGGAAACAACCACTGATTATTCGCTTATTAAATTCGTTATTTTTTTCTGATTACAAAAATATAGGGTTCGACAGGTCTATTTCTTATTGTTTTAGAATAAAGCCAAAAATAAACTTTTTTTTTAAATTTCCATCTAGTGTCATCGACGAAATTAAATTTACAGTTTCCTGTAAATTATGGTACTATAACTAAAAATTAAAAAAACAAATTTCTGATGTTTGAAACAAATAAATTTGTTGAACTATTTAATTTATATATGTTTTACACAAAAGTTGGAATAGATTGCATTATTTCACATTTTTTATTAATATTTAATATTATTACAGGATTTTTAAAGTGACACTTTTTGAATACAAACAAATGTTGCTATGTTTATTTGAATTCAAAAGAAAAATATATGAGCGCCATCTATCAATAATTTATTAAGTCATTTAATAATAATATTAAATATTAATAAAAAATGTGAAATAATGCAATCTATTCCAACTTTTGTGTAAAACATATATAAATTAAATAGTTCAACAAATTTATTTGTTTCAAACATCAGAAATTTGTTTTTTTAATTTTTAGTTATAGTACCATAATTTACAGGAAACTGTAAATTTAATTTCGTCGATGACACTAGATGGAAATTTAAAAAAAAAGTTTATTTTTGGCTTTATTCTAAAACAATAAGAAATAGACCTGTCGAACCCTATATTTTTGTAATCAGAAAAAAATAACGAATTTAATAAGCGAATAATCAGTGGTTGTTTCCATTTAAAAAAACGAAAATTGTGATAATATCTCAAAATCTAAAACCGAAAAAATTTTTTTGACTACGTCATCCAATTCTCTATAAAAAAGTGTCCATATAATGTCTTAGTTATAATACTCCACCTATAATAATAACGAAGATAATTGCACTTGCTGGTTTTACGATATTTCCAATTTTGGCCTCTAGGGGAAAAACAAAAGACGATAGCGCTATGAGGTTTTCGGCATTAGCAGTTTCTCGAAAAACGAGATCATGACATGTAAGCTACTTTTTGTCTAACTCTTATAGTTTCCGAGTTAGCCTATTCGGACATCGAATTTGAACCACCCTGTACTCTTAGGTTCTATCACCATTGATCTTCAATCTTTACGCTCTGCAAATCTTCAATGAATGGTAGCGTAATTGGATTTGGGATATCAAATGAGCAACAAAAGGATCAGTATGTCGTGTCACGCCGATGATGCAGAGACTGAGAATGAGCTGCAGAGTCAATTCTTTAAGTTCTACCAGTTGACTCGACAGCACAATATGACAATATCTATAAATATAACAAAAGCCATAACATTTTCCAAGGAACCAGTCAGGTACAAACTGATTGAGGAGGACTTCAAATATCTAGGTATGGGTAAATAACGAAGAAGAGGGTGGTTCGGCTATGAGAAAAAGATGGCCGAGCATGAGGTACCTTGTATAGCAATGGAGGAAAAACCAGCAGGAACTTATCCACCAGGAAGACCACCAAAAAGATGAAGGAAAGTTGGCAGTCCACCTCTAACAACGACTTTAAAATTAACAGATCGACAGGGATATTAGTATTTCGTATAATTTTCTGAACCCCAGAAATTTGTAACTGACATCTTCTTCGTTCGAGATTTCTTGTCTCATTCTTTCTTTAATTTTGAACTTCTCAGAAATTTCGTTGCCCATTTTGTTTCCTCAATGAAACGTAAGTATATTTATTTGCTAAATGAAAATGCATAACTCTTAATATGGAAGAGGTTATATTCATTAACCCTTTTAAATTAAACGACTAAAACTCCCTTTATAACCTGAAAACTCTCGTTGCGAGACGAACTGTTTTCGTAATG